TTCAATTGAAAAAAACAGAATAAGGAAACTAAAACTAAATTTTATTAACAACAAAACTGACAGAATACTGAAGCATATAAACGAAAATGATATAGTTGATATATGATTTTCACATATTTACTAAATTACTACGATACTACTTAAATCATTATAAATGCTAGTTCATATCCAAAAATCTAAATGTTCAAAAAAAGAAGAAACTATTCACAATCTTAAGAATAATGATACTTACTGTAACAATTAAACTATATGCCATTTGACTTTCATATAATTTATTCTTTAATTCATTTTGTTTAAAAGTTGTTTTATTTATTCCATGAATAGATTGATTTCGACGTTTCATTTCCATTTCATGAATAGATGATGATCTACTATGTATATTAAGTAAATTAAAATCTTTAAAGTTTTCATTTTCTTTGAGTCTTAATGTATCTATATTATAATCTAATGAACGTTTTAATATAATATCACCAGTTATAGGATCTAATTCAAATAAGGATTGTATATCTGTATGCTCATTTGGTTTAATTCCATATGTTATACGACCATTTTCTGCTGAATCTATATCAATAGCATATAATTTTGCAATATACGTTCCAGGCCTATATCATAGTGAAAAATTTAAAAAAAAGGAACATAAAAGTTTATTTTTAAGCTTAGATAATGAAATATGGAAGTATTTACTGTTTATGTGGAACCTTCATAATTAAAGCAAAAGAGAAAAGTATGAAAACTTCATTTACAAAGTTTATTCATGTTTAATTCACTTGATATTGTTTTACTTGAATCTTCCCATTGATGTTTAGGACTTAAATTGACCAGTCTTTTATTGGCATATGTGCATACTGTGTGTATTGCCTCGATATTGCCTTAATTTACAAGCATTATAAGCGGAGATGGATAGTGGCTAACGCGATGGCGTTTGAAGCGAATGGTACTGGGTTTGAGTCCCAGAGTGAACATTAACTCTAAGATGTAGGTACATCCAGCTGATGAGTCCCAAATAGGACGAAACGTGCGTCCTGGATTCCACTGCTAGCCACCATCCATTTTCTGTTTATTCATGTTTGTTGATAGTGAACTTCTGAGTATTTAAACAAAGTTTGTGTCACAGATTAACATTTGTCTGAAGTATCAGCAAAAATGGGGGAGCACATTTCATATGTCTAGTTCCAGTTTAGGACGCTCTATAAGTATAAACTTGGTAAGAAACCAGAGACATTCAGGTTTCACAGGTTGAAATCATGAGTCAGTTGAAGCTAGACCACCATTGAAAACCTGGAAGCACTGAACAGCCGTTTCGTCGTGGTACGGGACTCCTCGGCAGTGCGCACCCAAGATCCCACACCACGCAGGGCTCGAACCCAGGACCTACTGGCTTTGCGTGCGAGCACCTAGCCACTAGACCACTGAGCCGGCATCCAACGGTGTTAATGTCTAACTTCAACCAATCCACGAAGCTGTGCCACCGTACACCATTGTCATCAGTGGATTCCTATCTCACAACAGACCTGGTTGAACTCTACTGGTAACGACTTCCCACTAGAACTCCAGGAGTTTTTCCTGAAGTCAGTCACTAGTGAGCAGGTGATTATCATTATCAGAATGGGTTTTGTGGAGAGTTTTAGAAATTTCACAGGTTGAAATCATGAGTCAGTTGAAGCTAGACCACCATTGTTGGTAGTCAAAGTTCCCAAATAATGCGGAAGTTTATAATAATGATTAGTGGTCAAACCGTATTATGCTAACCATCAGATCTGAAAGTTATACATCCAAATCTATTTAGTGTAGTAAATGCACGCTGCTTAAAAATGTTGACTTGCAACACATCAGCTGCTTACGCTCCTTAGTACTAAATGGCGTCGCATCTAAAGTCAGTCTGTGTCGTAATCTATTTTCAGAATATACGTATCGACAAAAGTCGCGTGACTGACTGAATAATAATGGTATTTACTCAAGTCATTAAAAAAATCATTTCTCAGTAACAAAACATTGAGTTGATTTATTATTCCAATCATCTTTGATCTTTTAAATTGACACCAACTTTTAAATAACACGATATTATTATTATTATTATTATCAGAATGGGTTTTGTGGAGATTTTTAGAAATTTCACAAGTTGAAATTTCTAAAAATCTCCACAAAACCCATTCTGATAATGATAATCATCTGCTCACTAGTGACTGACTTCAGGAAAAACTCCTGGAGTTCTAGTGAGAAGTCGTTACCAGTGGAGTTCAACCAGGTCTGTTGTGAGATAGGAATTCACTGATGACAATGGTGTACGGTGGCGCAACTTCGTGGATTGGTTGAAGTTAGACATTAACACCACTGGATGCCGGCTCAGTGGTCTAGTGGTTAAGTGCTCGCGCGCAAAGCCAGTAGGTCCTGGGTTCGAGCCCCGCGTGGTGTGGGATCGTGGATGCGCACTGCTGAGGAGTCCCGTACTAGGACGAAACGGCCTCTCAATGCTTCCAGGTTTTCCATGGTGGTCTAGCCTCAATTGGCTCATGATTTCAACACGATATTAGTTTCTCATATACGAAATGAAGTTTCACTTTTAACCATCAACAAACCAGCTTCCAACTGAGGAGGAAGTTAGGAAATGATGTTGCAAGTGGATATAACATACATTACGGAAATCATCAAAATGCATCACGAGGCAATCCGTAACTTATAATCCTGAAGGAAAGCGGGAAAGTGGAAGGCTAAAGAACACATTACGTCAGGAAATAGAAGCAGATATGAAAAGAATGAATAACAAGTGGAAGGAGTTGTAAAGGACTGTCCATGACAGGGTTGAATGGAGAGTGCTGGTGAGAGGCCTATGCTCCTCCATAAGGAGAAACAGGCGAAAATAAGTAAGTTAACTGATAACATAATTTAATATCAAATTAAAAAACGATTTTCTTAATGTTTCTAAAGAGTTTATCTTTCATGTCCTCTAGAATCTATAACTTCGAAACAACGTTCAATATAGATATATCATATAAATTGTTAGTAATAGTCGTATATACGAACGTATAAAATAAACTCAATAAAGGCACTATACACGACCCTGAAAGAAAACGGATATACTGAGAAATTTATAAATAAAAACATAGCCAATAAAAAAGAGCATAGAAAATGCCTAACCGTGAATAAAAATCCTCTGTATATACTCTTAAAATTCAGAGGCAATGCAACTAGTGAGATACTAAGTCTGAAGTTAAGTAGATCAATCCAAAGAACTTTCAGTGCAGGTTATCTACAATTATTGTTTTACATACGCCCAATCATCACTCCGAGGTTGAAAGATAAATTACCTAGACTAGCCATTTCCTTCTGTAATTATCAATTCAACTGCTCCTGTGGTGTAAGTTATATTGACAGGTGTTCTAGGAATTTATATATTCGGGCTCATGAGCACTTCCCAGTGTGGTTAAGTAAAGGTGTAGTCAAAACTGTTAGCAGCTCGATTTTAGCCCATTTATTGCAGACAAGACATACAGCCAACACGGAGAAATCTTTTGCAATAATATATCGTGTTAACAGCAATCTACCTAATTCCGTCAGACTGAGAATCTTACAGACGGCTGAAACAATTGCTATTCGGATAAAAAATACCAGAGCTTTGCATCCAAAAGAAATATGTTCAACCGCACCTTTTACCCTGACCAACTTCGGGATCAACTAGTTAATAATCATTTCTATAATGCGGTGACGTAAATTGATTAATGTTAATTTTATTTACTAAAATTATCTTATTATTATTATCTTTACCATTGTTATTATCATCTTTATCATTGTTATTATTATTATCATTACGTTTGATAAACTTTTTGAGAAATTTATTCAGCATCCACCCTTATCTACTATATCTGACCTAATATTATTCTACATATTACGTAATTTCTAATTTTTATTCCATTATTTTATCTCTCTCTCTTTCACTACATGTTGATCATATTTATTCTGATCATTTATAGCACAATTTCATTCAGAATGGGTTTTGTGGAGATCGTAGTAAGTTCAATAGTTGAGATCATGAGTTGATTGATGGAAAACCTGGAAGCACTGGACGGCCGTTTCATCCTATTGTGGGACTCCTCAACAGTGCGCATCCAGCAACCCGCCTCGTGGGATTCGAACCCAGGACCTATCTGACACTAATTAACATATGCTCACTAGTGACTGGCTTCAAGATGTATATCCTGGAGTTCAAATGAAAAACCGTGACCAATGGCGTTCACACAAGGTCTGTTATGAGATAGTTAATAACTGATGACAATGGTGAATGTGTCGCTCAATTTCGTATATTAGCTGAAGTTAGACATTAACACTATTGGATGCTGGCCCAGTGGTCTAGTTGGTTAAGCACCTGGCACGAGACTGATAGGTTCTGTGTTCGGATCTCGCGGGGTGCGGGATCGTGGATGCGCACTGCCGAGGAGTCTTATACTGGGACGAAACGGCCGTCCAGTTCTTCCAGATTTTCCACGGTGATCTCATGATCTCAACTAATGATATATATGTATGTATACAAATCAATGTGATTCAAAGACATTTATATTGCAAAACATTGACACCATGTAGTTAATTTACATGTAAATCTATATATTAATGAAAAAACAAACAAACAATGAAACATTCTAACAAACTATGATAAATGTTCCATATCTCTTTTTCCATAAGAAAAATTAATGTTAAAACATACTTTCAGTTAATTAATTATCCCATGACTTCCATATTTTTTTTAAAAAAAAAGGGAAAGGTATTAAGGTTCACTTGTTAACTAACATAAATCATAAAATATAATATTTACATCTCTTTTTTTTGAATCTCCATGTTTCCTCTTTTTGAGAGAACAAACTAAACAGAACTTGACAAATAGCTAATTATAATTAAATTAATTTTTAATAGTCATTATTTCGTTACTTCTCTTTTTTTTTTCTTCTATTTTTTTCCTCTTTACAAGTAAACCAACGTGTAATTACTTTTGTGGGTTCTTTGTTTCATGTTATAAATGTAATTTTAAATGGTATAGTTAAGAAAAAAAACAAACACTGTAGTCATACAAGAGTTAAGTATCTAAGTAATTAAAGGATATTGTTTTTAAAAAAAATAATGAACCTAAATTTGTAATCAAGTTCAATAGACATTTAGAAATATCCGATTTTATTCAATCGTAAATGATTGTAACTTGTACGAATACAATCTAAAATGATTAATAATACAGTTTCAGATAATAATTATAGAAACTTTAATAGTTGACTTCATGAATCGATCTAAGTTAGACTACCAATGAAAACTTGAAAGTACTGGACCGTCGTTTCGTCCTAGTATGCGACTCCTCAACAGTGCACATACATGATACTGAATGCTAGATTTTTTAAAGTTCTAATGAGAAGCCATGACTAAGGGAGTTTATTCTGTGTCGTGTGGAGACAGTTATCCACCTCAGACAAAGGAAGAAGGGTTGGGAAAGATCATAGATCGATTGAAGTTAGACATTAACACCGTTGGATGCCTGCTCAGTGGTATTTATGCTAAGCGTTCACGCTCGAGACCGAAGGTCCTAGGTTCGAGTACTAAGTGCGGAATCGCGGATGTACACTGCTAA